ATTTAAGTGATATTAATGTTTCACATGATGTCCAATGCTTATTACAACTAGGTGAACGGATTTGGATTGCCTTAGACTCAAGATAATAAAGAAAAAACTACAATAAAATTTATAAAATAAATTGGAAACAATGTATTGTCCGAATAATATAGTTAACTACATCAGAAACCAATCGGTTAATATATTAAATATTAGGTGTTGGAATTAATTCGTAGCGTTTTTTAATGAAAGAATGTTATTTATTTCACATGAGCATTAAAAAATACATTAATGAAAGTACTTCCCATCACTTGTAAAACGCTACGAATTAATTCCAACACCTAATAGATTATACCATAATAGTTCATCGTTGAATGGTGACGAGATATATTACATTAATTAAATGGACTGAAACTACAAAAAAATTTATTAAAGACCACTCGGATTTATTTTTTACTAAGGCAGATAAGGGAAACATCACCATTGCTATTGACAGATTTATATATGATCAGAAAATGGAAAATATGCTTTCAGACGTACATGAAAATAGAGAGAGACCCCAAGAGAAAAAATTCGCTAATGATTTGCGCAATATAAGATAGAAAAACAAAAAATTATTAACGAGTTAAAAAGGCTTCTCACTACCGATGGAACTAAACGACGCGTTATGGCGCGCGTAAAATCCACAAACAGAAATTGAGATTAATACAATAGTATCTTCGATTAATAGTTCACTGTACAATCTTTTTTGTTATTTACATTGCATTATTAAAGAAAGCATTCCAGTAACACATAGTCATGTGGAAAATGACTTCCAATTGATACAGAAACTAAAAGGAAGATATTTTGAGTCCGATTATATTTTGGCTACTCTGGGTGTGATTTCGCTCTTTATTAATGTTTCGATTTGTGCTAACATAATACACAAAAAAGTATAATCAAAGGATGGAATTACATAGCAAATAATATCAAAATAACACAGGAAGAGTTCATGATTGCTATGAATTTTATTTTTAATTCCACATTTTTTGTCTTTAACGGATCGTTTTACAAACAGATTTATGGCATACCTTTGTTCCTTATTATAGCGGAAATAGTTCTGCAAGATTTAAAAGAGCAGCCAATAGAGAGATTGTCATTGCAATTGTCTTTATATTACAAATATGTAGATAACATTATCTTGGCAGCTCCACAGTTACAATTAAATTACATATAAGACACCTTTAATTCTATGCATGAAAGGCTTCACTATCGAGATTAGCAATGACAACAGACTTAATTTTTTGGATGTCACAATGATATTACATGAACATTTTATCATTTTTGACAGATATTCGAAACCGACATCATCGGACAGATATCTCAGTTTCTATTCGAACCATCTTGTTTGTCACAAAAAAGTATATATAAATAGTGATATGGTGGACAAAATTCTTTTACTTTCCCATTCGCAATTTCATAAAAAAAATTTTGAAGATACCATAAGCATTCTTTTAGATAGTTGCTATTCATTTGCTTTTATTTTTTCCGTAATTAGACAAAGGCTTAAATTCCACTGCTATCCCCACTCTAATATAAAGTTGCTTAACAAAAACCAAAAATATTTTACTATCTCATTTGTAAAATCCATCTTTGAAAACTTTATGTCTATAGCTATGGGAATACATTTCAAGACAGCTTTCACCATACCCTTAAGAAATTTATACACAATGGTAAGGACCGTTTGGATTATTTCTCCAAACAGAGTGTAGTCTATAAAATTGAGTGCTTGGATTGTGAGACTAGCTTCGTTGATTAGACAAAAAGGAGATTACAAACTAAGAATAAACTACAATAAATGAACATCGATCTGATATTAACAAGAGAATAGGAACTCCATCAGTAATTTCTGAAAATCGTACTACTTTAATCACGATTTTAAGTGAGGAGAAGTCGAAATATTGGATAATGCCTTACTATAAAAAAAGAATTATTTCTGAAATGGTTCACATTAAAACACAAAAGTATGGTTTGAATAGACGGACAAATACCGATCCGCTGCCTGACATATATCTACACCTTTTATAATCCCTTCCTACATCGTTGAATTCCTCTTCTTAGGATCCTTCTTACATCATTTCTATTACTACTTCCCTTGTTAGATGGCAGGATCATTTCAATATATCGAATGTTCTAGCATTATATCTCAGAATTCGACAGTATTAAGACCCGTTTGATATCTCTGTATATAATTATATAATTACTTTCAATACTCAATTTATATTTTTTTAATTATTTTGGACGTTCGAATAATCAGCAGGTATGTACTATTTATCTTTTATTGTAATTGATGTTCAATTCTTTTATGTAAAACATAGTCGTATAACAAAATTATTTTTTGGTATCTTGAATGACAATTAATATTATTATTAGGTAATTATTATATTCATTATAATTGCAAAAAGAATATAAAAGATGTATGCATCTCTGTTACATTAATTTTCACTGGACCAATCTATTGTAAATTGAGAGGAAGCTCACGGTATTATAGATTTCATACGATTGTGACTTCTGGAATAGACTAACAATAAGTTCCGATGGGAAGCCGATTGAATCTAGGCCGTATTATGCCATAATTATTATTTCTAACATGCGAATATATACGTTTTTTATATATTGTGTAGTTACCGATAACATTTAAATTTATTTTTTAATATTGAGAAAGACCCCTATCGGATTCAATAGGGATCGTAACGTCTGTACGTTTTTATATTGCTTACATTAATATTGTTTACTCATATTTTTTTATCCTGAATGGGTTCTTAGCCCTATATTGTATTGTTTAATTTATTTAATTATTGGAACCGTTATTATTTATTGAATTTTTCTAATTTAGTCGAGCAGTGCCAAGTTTTTTTACATAATGTATTTTTTATTTCATTAACATCTTTTTATTTTATTCTTAATTTTCTGTAATAACCTTTGATTGAAAAGATAATGCAATTTGGATTTCATTTTTTAATTTGTAACGATGCATATCATTACCAGTATGTATTTTGCGGATGATAGCCGTTCCGCCAAAGGTTCACGGACCTTACTGATTAGCGCCGATCGGTGTCGTTTTCACTCGTATTGCTTGCCGGTAAAGATCGCCAAGCAAGACCGGAACAATACGAGCGGGAGCAATAATCCGTATGTAAACTCGCAAATTGTTGCTCGTTTCGCGATTCCTGTCTCCGCTCCTAGATGAATCCGACTATTACCGATAGTTCATTCCTAGTGAACCATGTCTGTCGCGAGACAAAGTGGTGGAGAGCATTCCGTTACTAATCGAGGGTTCTCGATAGCGGTTGCCGATCAACCTTCCTGCATACATCCGCTGCACTGACGGGATAATTCTAGGGCAGAGGAAACTTTGTCCTGCCGAGCGTACTCGGCCGCTGACCAACTGATTACGTCGCGCTGATTGCACCGACGGGTTTATTTCTAGGGCCAGTGTGCACTCTGCCCCGCTGAGCTTTCTCAGCCGCCGATCAACCGCTGCCGTTTCCTAGCGTCGCACCGGATATAGAAGAGCGCGCTCAATCTCCGTTGAGTCTTTCTCGACAGTGCAAGCATCATGATAATCAGCAATAGCCCGAGGTGGAGTCTTCTCCGCTGAAAACTCTCGGCCGTCGATTACCGAAACGCATCTGACTTCGCGCTTTAGCGCCCATACGTAAAAGATCCGCCGGAATACCGTGCCGCGCCTGGCGTGTACCCGTGTCAACCAATCAGTTGCGCGCTGTTGCGCACAACTGATTACCGAATATACGTGCCGCATACCAGCATTGCGCCGCACCAGAAAAAGCCGTCTGTGGCATCTGGCACACGAGACCACGTTCGCCGAAAGGCAAAAATATACATACTCGTGCATACACACACACACTCATTGCAGAGATGTTTTGGAGTCAGTAAATACTGCGGAAGTGACGAACCGTGGGATCCTTATCTCTGCTATGCACACACATACACACACACACACGCGCGCGCGCGCGCGCGCGGGATCAGATATCTGTCACGTTCACGTCATTAATATCCTGGGTAATGCCAAGGATACATTTATACATTGTACATGAAAGGAGAGTTAAAATTTGAAATATCTTAATTTCTTTTTGGTAAAGTTTCCTATACAATAATTTGTTTCTGAGTTATACTAAATTTACAAGACTAAGTTGTCCGCGTGCGAATATCGCTTCGCGACCATTCTTCGAGAAGGTATGTGAAATTTGAATTTAGTTCTTTTTAACGTTGATTTTAAATGACTTCAATTTTGTTGAAAAGCAGCAGGTAAATATCAAGATAAAAATAACTTCGTCAAAAATCATCGTATCGAGATTTAAAAAAGCATTTTAAAACTTGAAATCTCTACTATTCAGATCAGTATTTTAAAAAGTCTTACTGATATTTTATGGAACAAATATAAATGAAGATGCATAAATTTTCAAAATTTTTTACAAAATTTGCGAAGTATCACGGCGCCAATTAAAAATTGCGCACAAATGAGGTTCATAGCTTTCGAAGGAGTGAATCTTTACCTTTAATTTGCTTTTTTATAAATCTCTGTACGATTTTTTTTCACTGAGTTATTCAACATTGAAGCAAAAAGAATCGTTTTTGGTTAGTTATATCTCAGGTAATTATATCTTTAATTCTCCTTTAAAACTTAGTAGATACATAGAAATTATCACAAAGAAAAAGAGACAATAAGAACCAATCTTGGCCCACTTCAAATTTCGTTCAACAACATGAAAATTTGTTCCTTGAGATCAATTATAAGGTAAACTGTTTACAGAAAGACGTCACTATAAAACGTAATATCAATATAAACTTACTTTTTAAAAAAAGGTAAAAAAAGAGGCGCTTAGAATATACATACTTCTCGAATAAAACTTATAACGATATGCCCTAATCGCATGTCGTTCCTAGCGATAGTGCCAGCCGGACACTACTGTGGCAATCGCTAAGAGCACGATATGGCCAAAATACCGCATATAACTCACAGGTGACGCAGCAGTCGAGGTTTCATGAATACATCCGAATTCCGCCGAACGATGTTCGCTCGTATTGTTCTCGGCGAGAATCGCTGAACGATTCCGGAACGATCCCGATCTGCTCCTTTTCCAGTTCCGAATCTTCCGGTCGATAGTAGCGAGTGGTAGAAAGCTCTGCAATTATCGAGTGTTCGCCACCGACCGGCTTATCCTAAACCGCTGCATCGACGAGAGTCTCTGAGGCAGAGTGTACTCTGCCTCGCCAAGCGTTCTCGGCCTCCCCCAATGCAACTGTGCACCGACGGGAATTTCCGTGGCGGAGTGTACTCTGCCACGTCGAGCGTTCTCGAGCCTGCCGCCTTACTCCGCACACCGACAAGATTCTAGGAATAGAGAGTAACTCTGTCTCTGTCGAGCTTTTTGGACCGTCGGCTATTCAAAACTACCGGCCTCGACAGCAGAAAAGGGGTAGAGTTTTCTTTGCCTCTGCCAAGTGTTCTCGGCCGAGTACTCAAACGCATTCTCAGTTTTCCTTATTGTATCGAGAGAAACTCACACTATATCACGACGTGTAAACACGAACGCGACCGCGATTCACATACCCGCGTACCGCAAGAACCAATCAGGTGCGCTGCGTCGCACAGCTAATTCGCGCCCCGCGCTCCGCAACCCGCGCTTATATCGCGACTAAGAAACCATTTGCGACGAGTCAGATCTCGTTACACACGTACACACATACACGCGTGTATGCACACACACACTCACATCCATAGATTTATATTCTGCGTCTCAGCGCCGTTTTTTTGGCTGAATACTCGGGATTCGCAATATATAACGTTCTCAAGAAAGATTGTCTTGTATTTCTATTTAAATCAAATACATATTTATTTTATATCAGCATTAAATCTCTGTATTTCGTTTATTGCATCTCACTTCCTGAATGTACCTCTTTTGCGCTCCGAAACTGAAATATCTGATGAGCTACGTCCGTGCACAAAAGTCAGGTAGTCACAACTTAAGTGTCCAACTCAAGTAATTGTAGCTTTAATTTTTCCAGGATATCCTTATTGAAGGTTTTTTTTCAATCCAGTAATGGCAATTTTAATTCTTTGTGTCAAAAGTTATTATTCCTCGAAGAAAACCAAATTTTGATAATGTTTTGAACAATGTTTTGAAGGAGAATTAAGTAACTACTATTTTATAAATGAAAGAGAATATGTCTTTGAATAAATTGCGATATAAAAATTTTATACAAGAAGAAATAAAGTCATTTGAATCGGAATAGGAGGACGCTTCAATAG